TTGAATATGGTTAAAGTAATAGAAAGATTTTGGATATGAATTTTACTTTAAGAGAGAGGAGTCCCTCAAATAACATAGTACTCTTTCTTTCTTCTCTTTTCTTCTGTTATTTCCTGATATTAGTAATATAAAAGAGTTAGAATGGCTTATATATAAGGATATATTTTAGATATTTAAATGCAGGGCTTTTTTGTCATAGAACGCCCAGAATGGAGTTCTGGCACCTTTTTTGGATGGAACCTTGTAGGGTAGGCTAGGCGGGTTGTATGATGTGTGTGAGTTCCAGCACCTTTTTTTTTTTTTTTACAAAAAAAGCACTGTTTAAATATGATTGATTTTAAGAAAATTACAATGGATTGAAAAAAAATGTTTTGAATAAAAGTTAAAAGACCAGATGATTAGATTTATTAAATGGAATATTTAAAGATTAAATATATTCTCAATTATGGTAAAAAAGAATGGAAAAATTTTGGAAATAAATATGTATTAGCTTAGGAGAAACATGGATCTTTTTATTCCTCTTTACTATTGCTCTTTTTTCTCTCTTTTTAGTCTTATTTATTCCTTAAGTAAGGTAAAAGTTATGGGATGGTTTACAAGAGAAAAATAGAATCAAATATTTAAATGTTGTAATAATAATAATAATAATAATAATAATAAAGTTGGAAGGGACCTTGGAGGTCATCTAGTCCAACCCCCTGCTCAGGCAGTAAACCCTATACTACTTCGGACAAATGGCTGTCCAGTTTCTTCTTAAAAACCTCCAGTGTTGGCACATTCACCGCTTCTGGAGGCAGGTTGTTCCACTGGTTAATTGTTCTAACTGTCAGGAAGTTTCTCCTTAGTTCTAGATTGCTTCTCTCTTTGATTAGTTTCCACTCATTGCTTCTTGTCCTGCCTTCAGGCGCTTTGGAGAATAGCTTGACTCCCTCTTCTTTGTGGCAGCCCGAGATATTGGAACACTGCTATCATGTCCCCCCCTCATCCTTCTCTTCATTAAACTAGACATACCCAATTCCAGCAACCATTCCTTATATGTTTTAGCCTCCTTTGTCTGGCATGATCTGTTTTTGACAAACCCATGTTGGCTTTTAGTAATGACTTTGTTTGCCTGTAGATGTTTGCTGATTCGTTGTTTGATTATCTTTTCCAGAATCTTCCCAGGTATTGAGATCAGGCTGATAGGTCTGTAATTTCCTTGGTCCTTTTTTTCCCCTTTTTTGAAGATGGGAACTATGTCAGCTCTTTTCCAGTCCTCTGGTAGTTCCCCAGTGCCCCAGGATCTTTGAAAAATATAGTTCAGTGATTCAGAGATCACATCTGCCAGCTCCTTAAGAACCTTGGGATGTAATCCATCTGGTCCTGGTGATTTGAACTTGTCTAGGTTGGACAGGTGTTCACTTACCATTTTCTTGCCTATCTTATCTTGTATTTCTATTTTGTTTTTTATGACACTATTTTTGATAGGTTGGTCTGTTTTTTCCCTTTGTGTAATGCGAAAAATGAGTTAAATAGTTCTGCTTTCTCCCTGTTGCTTGTCACTTTCTTGCCACTTTCACCCACTAATGGACCAATCGTTTCTTTCACTTTTTTCTTGTTTTTTACATGTTGAAAGAAACTTTTTTTGTTATTTTTGAGTTTGGTTGCAAGCCTTAGTTCATATTGAGCCTTAGCTTTCCTCACTTCGTCTTTGCAAGCTCAGACTATTTTGCTGATATTCTGACTTAGTTATGTGTCCCTCTTTCCACTTTCTATATTTGTCCTTTTTATCTTTCAATTGATCAGAGAGTTCTTTATACAGCCATGCTGGTTTCTTTTGAGAGCTGTTATTTTTCCTCTTTGTTGGTATTGTGCTAGACTGGGCCTTTATTATCTAACTTTTCAAAATTTCCCAAGCCTCTTGGGTTGTTTTCCCCTGGAGGATTCTCATCCATGGAATCCTTCCCAAACCCTCTCTAAGTTTATTGAAATTAGCTCTCTTCAAGTCCAAGACTCCAATAGTCCAATAGACTGTGTTCTATTGCTTGTGTTTCCATAATGTTGAATTCCAATACTGCATGATCACTTCCTCCCAAGGTTCCTATGGCTTCAACACCTTCTATCATTTCATCTCTGTTAGTGAGAATTAGGTCCAAAGTGGCTAATCCCGTAGTTCCCTTCTCTACTTTTTGGGAGACAAAGTTGTCTGCTAGATTTCTTGATGCAGAGTTTGTCTCCCAGTTGATGTCAGGGTAGTTAAAGTCCCCCATTACTATTGTGATGTGCTTCCTACATACCTTAGTTAGCTGACTAGCAAAAAGCTCATCTATTTCCTGTGTTTGGTTGGGTGGTCTATAGTATACACTTATGGCAATGTCGTTCCCCCCTCCTCTTTTATATTGACCCATATGTATTCAGGACAGTTTTCATCATTGTTGTGCTCTATTTCTGTAGAGATGTAGTTATTTCTTATTGATGTTGATATTCTTGTCCACACACACATCTATGTTACATGCACTGATAGCCCTATAATTTTTAGATTGCCGGGGACAGGGATGTTCTGTATGAATTAGCTCACTGTCCCCGCTGTTTAGTTTAAATATTCCTCCAGAAAATCTGTGAATTTATAGCCAAGTAACTCAATCTTTTTCTTTGATGGATGCAAACCATCTCTTTTGTACATTTCTTCATTGGACCAGCTGCTGACATTGTGACTAATATATCCAAAGCCTTCCCCTTTACTCCACTCCTTTAGCCACATATTGAATTGTGCTATACACTGGCCTTTTCCATTTTGGTCCTTATACACTTGTAAGACCTCTGAAAAAATAAGCCTACAGCCTATTGTGCTAAGTTCCTGCCCCAGGCTCTGGAAATCATTCTGCACAGTGAGTACATCTTTTTGGGACAGATCGTTAGTGCCAAGATGTACAATAGCCTCCACATCACAGTCCTTGCTGGCATTCTTCATTATTTTACAAATACGCTTCTCGTCCCTACTGGCAGTAGCAGCTGGAAGATACCTGACCTCATTCGAAACCTCTGTGTCCTTTTCTAAATTACATCCCTTATAATTGAATCACCAACTAGAAGGTGTCTTCTCTTTTTGGGTGCCTTTCTGTTCTTGCATGACTGATGTGTAATATCTGATTCGCACTTCTCCCTGTCAAAAACAAGTTCTTCATCTCGGATCAAGATCCCCTGCTTATTTGAGTTATCATCACAAATACCTTTACCTGTCTCCTTAATGTCCCTATTAAGGTCAGCAAGGGCACTGTATCTGTTGGCAGGGACACAGCAAAAGCTTTGTGTTTATGGTTCACAGCTCTCAGCCTGCCAGATCCCATGATTCTCCACACTGCCATTCTCCTGTAGGATCTTTGTGGTAGAGGAGGCTGATAGCTTGGAGGCTCAGTGGAGTAGAGGGGCTGAACTGGACACCTAATTTCTGCCTGAAGAGCAGAGATCACAGACCCTAGATAAGTAATCTGTCCTTGTAGACTAGTGATTTGTTTACAGATAGGACAGTTTCCATGATTGAAAAGGGTACTGCGAAAGACAGCTGCAAAACAAGTGTTGCACTGAACTATGCCTGACATTCTTAGATACAAGGAATCACAGATGCACTTGCCCTGAATGCACTGCTGCTGTTTGATTTTTGGTTTTAAAGCTGAATCCCCTCTCCACTCACAGTTATAGCAAGCACTGGGAAGTTTAAATGCATAGATCCAATCAGCAAGGCCCCAGCTGCCTGGAAAAAACAAATGTAAACAAGAACTGTAAATGGGATCTATGATGAGGCAACCAGAATGTCTAGATAGAAAAGGAATATTATATGATGTGATTATTATTTGCAGAAATATTAGAAAAAAATTTATACTCAAGTTATCTATCAAAACAATAAGAATTGTATTAACTTAAGGTTGGTAAAAGAGAACATAATGGGAAGAAGAGGAAATCAAGTAAAGCTATTATTTGGATTATAGATAATAGAAACCAATTGTTAGCAAATGTTTTTTAAATGTAAACCCAGACAACAAACTGTTTACCAAATATTAAGGTGACCATGTTAAAAAATTAATAAAATATATTATAAAAAAAAGAGAGAAAAATATTCTTCTCTGATTTGTCATCGTTGCCATTATTAAGGAATATTCATGCCATAGGGGTGTTAAACTGCTGGCCTGCGGGCTGGATGCATCATGAGGAAACCACACCCACCCCATTCCTGGCAATGTGGAAAAAGCTCCGATATATTGCGCGACATCACATGACGTTGCGAGTTTGACATGTCTGCCATAGGGTACAGTATGAATTCCTAATAACTGTCAGCTTCCAATACAGAATTCATGAAACATTGATGCAGGGTTTCAAAATGCAACAGTGATTACATAAAAATAAGCAGGTTTTCTATTCCTGAAAAGTACTTTTGCTTCATTTCAGCTTCATATAATTTCTTTTAAACAAAACAATTAAAGTACAATTATGAGGAATTATAAAAATATTGTAATTATTAAAATAAAAAAATTACACTACAATTATGTGTTCTGCAGAATTTTGATTATGCTGGTCTAATTAAGTGGATAATTCATTTTGTAATAATTTAAGAATTTGAAAGCATAATTTTTTAAATTAGTGAATGTATAATCCAGTATTAAAGGGTAGGATAGCTCAAATCATTTAAAGTAATTACTAACAAATTATTTGTTTAGAAAATCAAAATAATTCACTCAAAGAGTTGGCAGTTGGGCAATGTGGAGTTCATTCTTAATCTCTGGAATTTGAAATTTATATTATACCTGAAATAATATTGTTAACCAAATATTGACATTCTGATTATCTTAAGTTGTAAATAATACTAAAATTAATAAGCATATGTCATTCAGATCTTAATTCATAAACAGTGTGGCATCTATCCTCTTTTATGGATATTACTCAGGTATGCCACAGATTTTGAGATAATGCCAGGAGATGCTCAGAAACAAAATCATTTATTTCTCCCTTTTTATCTTTATATACAGTTGGAGTCCATTCTTTGAAGTTCAGACATTCTTGTGAATCTACATTCGTGTGAAGATGAAGTTGAGGGTTTCAACCAATCATATTGTTGCATTTTTTTCATTTTTTTATCTGGCAGGTAAGATATATTCTAAATTTTATCAATAATAGCTGTTATTTTAACATTTTATCAGGGCTGGAATCGACCCTGTGATCTACTTTCAAGTAAATGTGCGAAGTATTAAAAAGAAAGGCTATAATCCTGTATCAAAATGTTTTAAATATTAACATATGAATGGGTCCATTAGATTCAGTAACATTCAGATTAATCTCCCTTACAGAATTGTTCAAACAAAGTTAGAGAAAGAAATAGAATGAATTCAGCCTTGAAGTTTTAATAAATAGTTAAATGTGTATAAGAACCAAATTCAATACTAGAACTCAACACATTAATTATTTGTAATCTTATCCTTATATGATATGTCCTTTCTCCCACTAGGTAAGTTTATTTTGTTTTAGTTGAACGTGCTCAGCATTTTGTATTCCAGGCAGGATTTGTAGGACCAAAATGTGAATCTGGATACTTTATCTCATGTTGTAATTCAGGAATCATTCAGTCTCAAGCCTTAACCAGCAGTTTTATCATTTCCATTAATTTTTTATCTATTAAAACCTTTTGATTGACTTGATTTTTAAAAAACTCACTTAAAAGACCTTTCTCTTCCTCTTGTTTTTTTTTTTGTTGTTGTTTGTTTCATCTCATTGCCTATTCCTAGCAAGTTTAAAAATAATCAGGAGACTGCTTCTATTTGTATAGACAAAATACAACTGCTTATTTTAAAAAATCCTTTATTCTTCTTTTATTAAAAATAGGTCTGAAATACTCAATTGCTGTTGGAAGTAATGGTGAGTAATGTAGTACTTAGAAATGCCCACCTTTGTTTTTCTGTAGATTGATGAAAGCATACATTTCGAAGGCATCTGAGGTTCAAACTTTGACAAATTTGTGCTGGTAGTGATGATATAAGTTTGATAAATGACAATGCTGATCATGCATCAAACTAAGCCATAATATATTTATTGATTTTGGCTTTGTGTATTTTATGACATAGCCATTGTTGTTTGCAAGCCATGATTTATGGGTCAGAGAAAAATCCAATCAATTATTGTTCAACTATTATTAAGAAACTTATCCTGTGAAACCAGACTTTAAAAATTTGTAGCATTCTGGCCCAAGACTGAAATTAGCCTTTTTAACAACATCAAAGAACAATCTGAGAAGCAGCAACCAAGTAGGATTCCTGCTTAGGGATATTTGTATTTTTTTGAGGTATGTGATCATTTAAGCCTGAATCTTTGCCTCTGATGTTCATGGAAGCTTTGGCATTTAAATACTACTTTTATAAATATGTGCTTGAGTGTATGTTTGATTATGTATAGCAAGGAAGAATCAGCATTCCGTTTTCTCAAAGATGTGATTCAGCCAGTATTAAATATTTTTGATGCCTACTAACTTGAGTAAAAAGAACTAAATACATTTTAGATTTTTTTTATCTGAAACATTTAACTTTGGCTCAACTAAGTTTTTCAAGTTTAAGGAAGAAATGCTCAAATGAAATATAAATACTTAAAATATGGATAAACATCTTTTATATAGGAAGCAATATTTAAAATATGCCAAACTAGCAGAGTTGAATGTGTATTATTAACCATGTCACCACTGTCCTATTGCTGTTAAATACAAGAATACATTTTGGTTCAATCTTCTTTGTCAGTAAACAATTTGGTAAAATACACTGCTGTAACATCTATTCTGATTAAAGTTACTATTTAATATGCAGGATATTAAGGGTAATATATCAACTGTTCTGTATTTTTTTACATGACCAATGTTTTGCTTATTGCTTTTCTCTTTTCACTGAACCCCAGATTTGTTTAAAATGTCTGGTGTAACCCATGCCAAGTACTATTTGGTGCATCCCTGGCAATAAAATAATACTGTATTAAAGTGATTTCTCTGTAAAGTAATAAACTTTGGTATGTCTTACAGTAGCAATTACTGACATTTTTAACTTAGTAGTTGCTGCTCATAGGTGGGGGGACTCACTGAAAACACTGAAAAAGATAATGTTTTCTTTTTCTATTCCAATACTTAAAGTTCGTGATATGATACATGGAATCACAGTTCACATACGAGGTAAGTGGAGCTCTTCTATTCTTATGGGAAGACTGCATAATTCAGTGAATGATTTTATATCTTAAAAAAACTTAAAAATTACTAGTCTTGTTTTCAATTTAACAGGCAATAGTATATTCAATGGACAAAGTTGTCCAATTTAAACTGTATTAAATTAAATATAATTACTGCTTGTGAGCCCCAGTGACACTCAAAGTAATTTACATGTAATAAAACAGCAGTTGAAATGAAATAATTTTAACAATAATTAAAATAAATATTTTTAAAAACAAAGAAAAAAACTAAAGGTATATGAGACTTATTTTGATATCAGACAATTAGGTTACTTATCTAAGTAATTTCTATTTTGGTTGGTAGTTTCTCTTTAGCATCATAGCATGCATTTCCCACTGGAGATTCAATAAATTAAACAGTGGCCCTTTGTGTGGAAAAATATGTGCTTTATTTTATAAATTGAATACTTGCCATGATTTTGAAAAACTAATGTCAACCTGCGTTGACATTTTTAGGACAACTAAAAAGTCTCTGCTCTTCACTAATAATCATTTGTAATTCTATCTTTGTCTCGAATCTGGAAAACAGAATGAATGCAGAGCTTGTTAACAGAGAACAGGATTTAAGAAGATAGTAAGCTAGATAAACGAGAACAAAAATAGTCAAAAATATCTTTTGGACTCAAGTAATGTTTGGATGAAAACAATGTTAAAAGAGAATAATAAGGTTCATTTTATATTCTGCAATTCTATAAAAAGAAACCAGTCCACTCCTGCAGGTAGCAACTGACTTTTACTGATTTTCCCAAGTGGCACTAGAGAAGGTAAACTACTTTTCAATCATATGTCCCTGACATCATGTATTGTGACTTTTTATCTCTTAGATTATAGTTTTATTCTGGTAGAGCACTGAAGTAATATAACATATTGCTTATTTCCTTTAATTTTTTAAAATTAATTTAAAGAACAGACTGCCTAACTAAATGACTCTGGGTGATTTGCAATCTTTTAAAAAACCTGTCATACAAAGAATACAAATGACCAAAAGAGCGAAAATACCACAACCAAAGCAATGCAGACCACACCACACAGAAACAAAACAAATCATTGCAATCACCCTGTTCTCAAGGTCTGGGACAACACTGGGTGTATTCTTAAGTTTCTAAAGAAAAACTTTAGAAACAATGAAAAATAGATTCATACATTTTTTAATTTGATTAAGTCATTACTGCGTGTTATGACAGGAGCCCAGCTGCTTTTGTTTGTTTCTCATAGTGGATTGAATGATTTCTTGAAAACTGATCAAATTTAATAATGTTTCTATTATGATATATTCAACAAATATTATTGAAACTTTAATAACAACTTCAAATGATATTTCTTTTTTTAAAAAAAACAAGTTTTATTGGTTTTTTAAGTTTTACAACAAGGTGCTCTAGGAACACCGTGGTGGTGGGGTAATCAATCATCAAAAAACAAAATATATATATATATATATATATATATATATATATATATAACTCACATTAATACATTAAACGTTCCCTCTCTATTTCCCTCAAATAGTATAGCATATTTAAAATGGTCCATTTCTAAATTACATTTATATAAATCCAAATCCTGTTTTTAAGCTTTATAAATTTACAGTTACCATAATCCAATTTAATCTTAATTAAACATATTGACAACACTTTGGGTATCCCTTCTATAAATAGCAATAGCATTCAAATATTTCCAAATGTATTCTAATTCTTAATCTAATGAGTCAATAATTTTATCAGAAATCTCTCTTATATCTTCTTCCATAATATCCTAGTTAAAAAAAAAAAACATTACTCTCTCTATATATAATCTATCAATCAATCTATTTCTATATCAAAACAAAACAAAACACAAAATCCCTTCCATCCATTAAATAGAATTTAACTCTCATCCGAATAATTATCATATCTAAAAGATACATAATATTACACAAAATATCATCTTATAATTTCTTATTCTTGTTATTATAGAATAGTTTCCATAAGTAAAATAAACATCTTATTTCAGAAAGTACATTCTTATTCTATTTCAAATATATATTCTACTAGTCACAAATTCTCTCGCTTCTAATTCTAACTCTTAAATCTTGAATCAATCCGTATCTACAAAACCTTTTTGACCCATTACATGTAGTTTTAAATCTCTTTTTTTAGTCTTATTTTGGCTTTCTTTTTGTGCCAAACCAGTTTCCATAACAAAGCTTCTATTTCAGCAGATAGATCTCCCTTTATTCCTTGTGATGTCATTTGAGTCAATGGAAGACATCCCATCCTCTGTTTTCGATGCCTGATTCCATTGTAGATAGACCCTTGTTGCTTTAAAAGTTCAAATCTCAATGTTTGATTCAGTTGAATAAAGCATTCAGTTGTATCCAGTTTTATGGTTAATGGTTGGTTATTGAAGTTATCATCATTCTCAATAAGTCGTGTTTGTACATCAATTCCTGTTGTTTTTGGAGTTGTGTATATTTTGGTTGAAGTTACCTTTTGGTCCTCAGAAGTCTTAATAGGATGCTCATAAGGTAATATAGATTCCTCATGTTCTGATGTATTTTGGCTTGTAGGGTAGTCAAAGTCTGAAAGTCAGTTTGAAGATTTGTAGTGAGGTTTCTGATTCTTAATTCTGCAGTAATCTCTTTTATTTTAGCACATACTTGCTCAGTGGCTTCATGATTTTTTTCCAATATAAGTTTACAGTTTAGTAGTAAGTAAGGTTTCTCCATTTCAATAATAGTTAGAAGCAGTCCTTTTATCTTTTAGTGGAGGCTATATTTAAACAGGGTTAACCAATGTCCACCCCCACAACAGCTGCAAACTTCTTAATCTTTTCCCTTTTACAACAGTTTGAAGGTCAGACCCACCTCATCTCCAAGTAAATGCAGGCAATTGCAGTATTTAAGTTTCACCACAAGATGTCCCCAGTGAGTCAGATTCTTTCAAGAAAACAAATTTTCCTTTTTTGTATAGATAGATAGATAGATAGATAGATAGATAGACAAACAGACAGACAGATAGATAGAAAAAAGCTCTATAAAAGTTTTTTTGGGGAGCCCAGTTAAAAGTAAAATATAGGCAATAAAGTTAATTATTCTATCTTTTTGTTTGACACTTTTCTTCCCACTCAAATAAATGCCGCTCTCTTAGGGCAGGGAAGTAGTACCAAGAAGGCTTTTTACAGGCAAAAAAAGAGGAAAAAATAGGGTGAAGAGAGGAAAAGGAAGGATCTCACCTGGATCATCCGCGGTGGTTCTTGATGCTTAGATGTTCTTGTGACTTTTGGTTGGTGCAGCTAGATGATCGGCCATCTTACAGGATGATCTTTACTCCGTTGGCCCTAAGGAGTCAGCTGGAGCCGTGGGAGAAGCTGCCGCCCTCCCGCAGTCACCAGCAAGCCCCCTCATCGGTGGTCGCCCCTTCAGGGCGACTTTCAACCCCCTTCGGGGTCTACAGCGAATGAAAATCGGTCGGCGAAGAGACGAGTCTCTTCAAACGACCGCAGACCCCATAAACTGGAACCAGAAGTCCACTTCAAATGATATTTCTAATTCATTATTACCGTATTTTCCGGCATATAAGTCGACTTTCTAAACCATGAAAATCTTCTCAAAAGTCAGGGGTTGTCTTATATGCCCAGTCATGTTATACACCGGAAAATACTGTATTTTCCAACATATAAGACGACTTTCTAATCTAAACCATGAAAATCTTCTCAAAAGTTGGGGGTTGTCTTATGCGCCCAGTTGTCTTATACGCTGGAAAATACGGTATTTATTTAATTTATTTATTTATAAAAATGTTGGCTGCCCATCTTACCATAATCAGATCTTTATTGGGACGCTGCCATTCTGTTGGGAGGCGGGAATATTTGAGTTTTCTGTGATGTGTTTTTTTCACTTTGTTCTTCTGCACTTTGATGTATCTCTTTGGGTGTGAAAGTGGTGAGGGATATGCCTCCGGCCATCTGCCTTATCTCTACTCCAGTGAGGAGAAGATGCAATGCCTGGGAACAATGCTTTATTGTTCTCTCAGTTTCCAGTTCCCATAACAACTTCACACCTTTGGATTAGCTGGAAATGGACTGGGCAGTTGGGCAGTTGGGAGGGGTTTTAATGTAATGTTTTCATGTAGGAATATTCAGATCTTGCCTTGTCGCTCTGCTTTCACTATCTTTCAATAAAAGTTCCTTTTAAAACAATGCCATTTTCAAGAGTTCTGCTTTCTTGGGAGAACTAGCTGAGGCAGGACCTTATATTCTGGGTGGCTTACAGTTACATAAAATCTAAAACATAAAAAGTTAAAAACAAACATTAAAACTAAAAACACATGGGGATGGTGGGGGCAGAGTGGGGGGAAAGTGGGATCTGTTATTACTCAGTCAACTATCTCCATTGGTTGATCCTCCATTGGAGCCCCAAGCCAACTGGCACAGCCATGTCTTTAAGCCCTTACAAAAGGATAGGAAGGTTGGGGACAACCTTACATGGAGGGCAAGATGTTCCAGAGGACAGCAACAACAGCAGAGAAGGCCCTTCTCCTGGACCCAGCCAGCCAGAATACTCGGACTGACGGGACCCACAGCATGTCTTCTCTGCCAGCACGAGTGGTACTAGCTAATCCCAGTGGGGTGAGATGCCCTCAAATAACCAGGGCCCATTCAATGAAGGGCTTTACAGGTGATCACCAACACCTTGAATTGCACCCAGTAGCAAACTGGTAACCAGTGCAGCTCGTGGAACAGTGGTGTCACAGGGCCAGGGACCGCATCAAGACCATCAGTTAGGGTGAAGAAGTGTGACCGAGTACATCCAATAGTTCCGCAACCTGACCCCCCCACCACCTTTCATGTTCTGGCAGAGGAGGTAGAAATTGATCGAGCCCAAATAAGCATCGCCGAGGCAAAAATCCTTCCCGGAGTAGAAGGAAACACTGAAAGCACAGGTGGTTGTCCAGAGCCCTCAGCGATTTT